AGGGGTGTGTGTGTGTGTGTGTGTGTGTGTGTGTTTCAGTTGTTTGACTATTTGTGAGCCCATGGACCATAGAATGCCAGGTTCTTCTGTCCAAGCTCATGGTCATTGCTTCCACGACATTATCTATCCATCTCATCCTCCAGTATCCCCTTTTTCTTTTGCCTTCAGTCTCTCCCAATACCAGAGTAAAGATATCTCTATACATGTATAGCTGTATCTATACACACATATATACACATTTATGTATCTCCTTTTGTGTGTGTGTGTGTATATATATGTATTCTTCTTATGACTAATTTTCCTGTTCCTAATGCCCCCACCCATAGATCAGAGATATATGAAATCCCCCTTTCACTTCATAAGCCAAAGCTTTTAAGTGTGTATTTCAATTCCATTCAAAAAATATTTCTGAATCAAATCAAACATTTATTATGTGCCTGCTATGTGCCAGGCACATAGGGCTTCTTAAATCCTATTAAAATTAATTCTCTATAATTAGTCCAGTCTGTTATGCTTCAAGATATAACAACAAAACATGAGTTTTATTTGATAGGTAAATCTTTTGTTACCTTCCTTCTATGGTGCTCTTCTCTCCCCTCCCTCTCTTCCTTCTCCCTATCACTCCCACATATTATGATATTCTCAAAGCAGAACTCATTTCTGCAACCAAAAACTCAGTCCTGCTCTGAGACACAGGCCACTTAAATTTGAGTGTCTTGCGATACTTTTTGCTGAAAATTCATTAGCTCAATTTTTATGCTCTAATATGTTTAAAAAAATAAGTTCCCTATTTGAGTCATGTTTTATAATCAGATAAAGAGTTGTTTTGCCAAGTTTTTCATTGATACAGTGCTCTGACGGGCTTTTCAACCAGGTAGTCCGTGAACTAAGATTGGAAAAATAACAAGTTACATCTTTATTTTCACTCACAAATGTTGAAGGGGATGTGGAAAAATTGGAACACTAATTCACTGCTGGTAGAAATATGAACTGATCCAACCATTTTGGAGAGCAGTCTAGAATTACAACCCTAAGAGTTAGTAAACTGAAACTTAACATTTCTTCAATTATTCATTCAAAAAATTATTCTGAAGAGATCCACTGGCTTCACCAAACTGCCAAAGGGATCTCACACACACACACACACACACACACACACACACACTCTCACGCACGACTTAGAATCCCTACTTTAAAGGAAAGACATTTTGTCATCTGCATATTTCAAATTAAGTCACTTATAAAAATTATCTGAACCATTGAGAAACAACTTAGGAGAATTCTAGATTTCATGACAGGTGTTTAGAACAATTCCATTTCATTAGGAGCTTTAATCCATAAAAACCCAACTTCCTGTGCAGGTGCTATTACTGTTTAAACATTCTCTTTGAAGCAAATAAACAAGTAGAAAACAATAGCCTAACTAAGCAAAGGTAGGTCTGTCTGAGAGACTCTAATAAGGAATGTTAAGGGGAAGGAGAACATCTTTTTATGAGGATGAAAGCGAAATGTCCCAGACTACGCATATATCCTCAAAAGCAAAACACCAGGGTGCCTGCGAAAAACCACCAGGAATTACTGATCTCCTGAGAAGAGCTGAAGAACAATGGAAATCACTTTTAACTGTATTCTCCCCAGTGGATACATGGACAAAATAAAGGCCAAAAAGCCCCCCCACAAAAAACCACAACTCGAAGAAACATGAGATTGTAAACTAGCTACTTCAATTCAGTCTCCAGGGACTGAAAACACTCACCGCAGACAGTGTGAAGAATTTGAATGGGAAGAGTTGTTTTTTAAGTTCTTAATACCTGCGCCTATCATTCTCCTATTGGTCATTTTCTTAGCTAATAATTATAGCATACAATTGAATTCAATTAGCATTTATTAAGCTTCTTCTCAGGACAAGGCACTTTCTAATATGGACTCACGCAGCCACTTCCATTGTACAGGTCCCTCACCATCTCTCATCCGTCCTTTCATTATCTACCCTCCATTCCATTACCAGTGTTCTTCAGTGTATGACCATGTTGGTCCCCTACTCAATAACCTCCTAAAACTCCATTACCTCCAGAATATAATTTAAACTTCTGCTTGGCATTTAAAGCCCTTCACAGCCTGGCCCCTTTCTGTCCCAGGCTTCATACACTTTACTCTCCCCTCCACAAACTTGATCTAAGTGACACAGACCTTTTTACTGTTTTTCACACAATACTCCACCCCAGATCGGGCATTTTGTACTGGCTACCCCCATGCCTAGAATGATCTCCCTTCTCACCTCCAACTAGCTTCCTTACAGTAAGACTCTCCCCTAGTCCCTTCTCTCTGAGATCATCTTCCATAGTGTTTGCATGTTGTCTTCATTAGAATGTGAGCTCCTTAGCAGACACCATGTTTTTGTCTTGTTTTTTCTTCCCCCTTGTGTCTCCTCAGTATTAGTACCTGCTACATGGTGAGCACTGAATAAAATGCTGTTGGCCAACTGATAAGACTTTAGGTACCACAACCATCCTTGTGAATTGGTGGCCGATAGGCCACGGGAGTTAAGGAAATTGATCAACTATGAATCCAGGGTCTTTGAAGAGACATTATATATATTAAGGTATCCATTATTATTAGAAGTGCAATTGGGGTAGACCTGTGAACCAGGTATTGAACTTCTTTAGAAAGAAACAAGACTGATCTGGACCAGGTGATGTAATTAAATGGATTAAGCCTCAAAGGTTGGTGAATGAGGGGAGATGAGGGCTGAGCTAGTCTTGGGGGGGAGAATGTGCCCATTTCCCACCTCAATCCTGGTATGTTACAGATATATATAAAGAGTACCCCGATCAGGAGAGCAGGCCATTTAGTATTCTAGAAGGAGGAAGGTTTCCCTGACAAGCAGCATGACAGGAAGAGGCATGGGTGGAAGGCTCTTTGTTAATGACAGTGAATGTGGAGGGAAGTGATTCAGATAGGGTTGCTTTACGCAATCAACTCTAGATTATCTGATTTGGTGTTATCAGTGATTTATTTTATACCTCATGCCAATATGACCCTACTTAAAATAACCAAAGCAAAATCCTTTTAGTATGAAACCTCAGATGCATTTAAAATGCTGCACACTCTTCCCCCAAACTGTTTTCTAGACTTTTTTTTTTTTTCGGTCATTACTCTCAGCCAAAAGAATCTAGTTGATTTCCCAATTTTTCATTCCATTTATCTGCTTTGGTCTCTTTATCTGTAAGCTCCTTGAAGACCGGGGACTTTCTCATGCCCTCTTAGCACTGTGCCTTGCATACATTAGGAACATAATAAAATTTCTCCAACTCAAGATCAGAGTTCATCATTTTTGTTCCTTTTTAGTGTTCTGAATGCAATAAAGAACGGTCTTCACCTTACACATAAGAGGTACTAGGTGGATCAGCCTCCTGAAGAAGCCAATACTAGGCTTAGAGTCAGCGATGTGGTTAGACCCTGCCTGTGCTACTCATGACCTGTGTATTGTCCATCACTGGCCAGACCACCTCACCCCTCTCAATCTCAATGCACTTACGTGAACTGGGGTTAATTTTCCAAACTATATAAACATGAGCTGGATATATACCTATCCATACTATATAAGTGGGTAAAAAAGTGAACATATAAATTATGTTGTTTTGAATTTTCAGTACTGCAGACTTTTAAACAATTGTGAAACAATGTAATTTGCACTAGATACATACACTTAACTGCACTATTATCCCCAGGGAGCAGTAACCCCAAGGACAACTAGGAATATCAACAAAACCTGGAAAAATTAATCAAAGGTTTTTCTGTAGCACATATTCAACGTTGAAAAGGTCATTAGGTAAAAGGCAGGTGTTGTCTACTGAGACCTTTGTATTTTGGACTTAAATGGCTGCAAGATATGTAATACAACACTTTTACAGCAAATGAACCTGAAATTTTCCTAAATGCTTCTATATCGTATTGTCATAATGTTCAATCTTTTTGCTTATCTTATATATCAGGGACACTTCTTGAGATCTCTGAATGACATCCAGGTTTCTAGTTAAATCTCAAAATGATTTATTAAGGCTTTTTTTAATTAAAGTACAAAGAGTACCTCTTGGTTTGCGGTTGAGTGGTCATTTTTTTCATGAAAACAGTAAATTAGAATATTGAACATAAAACATAAAAATGTCCTTCACGGATATCCGCATTACTCCTGTATCACACAAATATAGTTGTATTCTGGAACCTAAGATTACAAGTTAAACTACACATCTATAACCAGAAAAATCTTGAGCCCAGCAATGAGCTTTTCTTGACATGAATTAAAAGCAAATTACTATATTCGTAAAGAAATAACATAAGCATACAAAAAAAGTGATTTCTAAGTTAACCACATCCCCATTATTAATAACAATGAACTCCTAATAACTAGATTGGATAAGCAAAATGCACAATTAGGTAGATATATGAAGAGTGAAAATAAACATGCCAGTTTTAGGAAGATTAACAAGTATCTAAATCACTAAACATCAAAAGATACCATTGGTACCTGGTTACTGGCTGAATACTGGTGAATAACAACAAAAAAGTAACTCAAAGTCAGAAATGGAAGAGAGCTCAGGGATACTCGACTCCAATCCTCTTTAATTTCAAAAAATAAAAAGACTTGCAAAGTAGCTACTGCAATACCATTTCCCCCCGAAAACCACACAAGTACAATAATGGCATTTCTCAAAGTCAGAATATTCACTGGAATACAAAACCCATCAAAAAAAAAATTAGACTACCTTTTTTTCCCCAGTCTAGGCAAAGAGACATGCCCATGCATAACAGTCACATTTCACATTTAGAGTTACGTCGACCTCAAGCATCAAAAAAGAAAATGAAGAAAGAAAAAATTAAGCCCCCAACAGAAGCCCCGGGGTGGAACTTTTAAACCGTGGAATCGCGGCGTTTCTTCTCCGCGCATTACCGCCGGCATCGCGGCACGCACCAGCATCACGGGACCCGCCCCCCCCCCCCCCGGTCCCGCAGGACACACAACGCCATCCGGGGAGGGGCAGCGGGCCGTCCGCGCTCAGGCCGCCCTCTGGCTCGGCCCCGGCGCGGCCTCCTTGTACTCGGCCTCGTCCAGGAAGGCGGCGGGCTCCCGGGCCAGGTAGTGCAGGAAGTCGTGCAGGGAGCCGAAGAGCAGCGCCAGGCTCTTGTCGTCGAAGGCCGTGTAGGCCAGCATGGCCCCCATGCGCACGAAGAGGCGCAGCAGGTGCGGGGCGCCGTACAGCTGCGACATGGGCGCGTCGGGGTGCGCGGCCACCACCCGGCCGTGCTGCGGCCGCTCGGCCTCGTACAGCAGCTGCGTGCCCAGCAGCACGTTGAAGTAGGAGCGGATGCCCCCCACCAGCTCGTCGGCCGCGTACTCCGTGCTGTCGCCGCGGCCCTGCGCCTTCTTGTAGGCCAAGTAGTCGGCCAGGATGGCGTCCACGTTGCGGACGGCGGGCAGCGCGAACAGCCGGCCCTGCTTGGTCACCAGCTCCCAGTCGCGCACCAGCAGCGGCTTCAGCTCGGCGGGGATCTGCACGCGGGGCTCGGGGCGCGCGGCGGCCGGCGCCTCGCTCTTGGAGGCGGGGTCCCCGCGGCCGCGCCGCCGCTGCTGGGGCTGCGAGGAGCCCCGGGCCGCGCTCGTGCTGGGGCCGGCCCTGCCGCCGTCGCCCCCGCCCGTCTTCTGCTTGCTCTTGCGGGTCTTGCGGCCGGGGCCCGAGGCCGGGCCCGCCGCGGGGGGCTGCTCTGCGGAGGCGGCGGCTGCGGCCGCCGCGCCCGTGGCCAAGTCGGAGGTGGGGGCCGAGGCGGCCCCGGCCGAAGGACGCGGCGTAATGCGAATATTCTGGAAGAGCGTCTCCACGTGCTTCTGCTGCTGCAGCGAGGACGGGCCGCCGCCCCTGCGGCCCGGGCCCACCGACCGCGCCCGGCCCTCGGACTGGTGCTCCTGGTTGGCCCGCTGCAGCTCGCGCTGCTTCTGCAGGTTGGCCTCCGAGTACTTCAGTACGCGACTCTCGGGCACCCACTCGTCCCAGTTCTTGTTCCAGCCGCTGTAGTGGATCAGGTAGCGCACCTGCTTGTCCTCCGTGGCCACCTTGAGGCACTTGGCCTCGTAGAGCAGCGGCCCGTGGAAGCACAGCACGCGCTCGCCCTCCTGGAACTCGGGCTTAGGGGCCTGTTTCGGAGCCATCGCAGCGGGGTAGCCGCCGGGAGCGAGATCTGGATACGCGGGGCTCGGACGAGTACGGAGCACGACCCACTCAGACGCTGCCTCGCCGCTGCCCGAGACTGGAGTGGCGGCGCAGGCTCAGAGCGGGCTGTGCATAACGGCGGCGTCGGCTTTTGCGCAAGCGCGCTGCTTACTGCCCGGCGGACGAAGCTGCGGCGCAGGCGCGGTACAGGATGCCCCCAGGGGCTGCACCCACTCCGCAGGCGCAGAGAAAGCTCCCGCCCACTATTCCTTGCTCCCAGGGTCACAACCTGGGGTTCTGCCTAACGGACAGAATCCCTGCGACGCCTGCGCAGCTCGGCCTCTCTCCCGCCACTTGCGGCAGCTCAGACTCCCGCCAAAAGTTGCTTTTTGCAAAGCATGCAAGAGCAATATGGATTCCCGCTGTTTCTGAAGCTAGGCGTGCAAGCACAGACCCAAAACGGGAGCGATCCCAGCAGCGCAGGCCACACCCTCATTCAGCAAATACCCTTTCCCTTTGCTGCATCACTAGTAAATAACAGCAGGGTCGCGGGGAAGCCGAGGTTCCATCGGTTGAACTCCACTTATTGTCCAAAGGAGGAAACTGAGGCCTAAAAGCTTAGGAGAATTGCCGGCGGGATTTGAACCCAGGGCTAGTGACTCCAGAAGCAGGGGTTCTGATATTATCTGGTGCTTAAAAGTGCAAAAAGGTTTGCAAAGCACTAAGCGTACGTCAACAGCATCTCTAGGCGATACCATGATATTGTCCCCATTTTACAGATGGGTCAACTGAGGCCCGGAACAAAATGGGTTATGTCATGTCACACACCTAGTAAGATTCCTCAGCTCTAAACTGGGCATTCTCCTGGGTCACAGCTGCCTCTCTAAATGATACGCCTGGACTTGTCCCTAGATTTGTTTTTCCCTACCTCAAATCCAATGTTCTTTTTCCTCCACCAAACACTGTGTTAAGCTCTTGTGGTCAACTATGCTTTCAGACAAATGTCTTAAAATGGGGAAGGCATTTCTTGGAGGGCATGGCTAAAAACTAAACAGCCCCAGTCTCTTGAGAACAGATTAGACTCGGGGTGGGAGGGAGATCCGCCTTCGTTGTCTAGAAAGTCAGGAAACTTGGGTTCTAGTGTCCTTTCAGACTCTTACCTAGTCTCTGGGCCTCAGTTTCCTTCACTGTAGAATGGGTGTGTGATCATTCTTGCATTCATTGCCTCCCGGCAGAGTTAAGAAGAAAACACTTTGCAAATCTCAACATCTCAACTCACATGTAAATGTGAGTTAGCCTCCTTAATGGATACTATGTATCATTCTCGTTCTACAGGAAGCCTCAACTGACATCTTCCCTTCCAGTCATTTAGGAGGATTTCTCTGATTCCCCAGGAAAAGTGATCCCTCTCTCCTGTGAACCTCAGAGCCTTGTAGTCTGATAAACTTTCACTTGTGGAATGCAGTTAAATACTTAATTAGCCCTCTGTATCTCCACCAAGGGCAGCTGGGGGCTCAGTGGATAGAGCACTAGGTTTGGAATCAGGAAGGCAAAAACTGCCTCGGACACTTCCTAGCTGTGTGACCCTGGGCAAGTCACTTCACCCTGTGTGCCTCTGTTTCCCCATCTGTAAAATGTCAAACCTCTCCAGTATCTGTGCCAAGAAAACCCCAAATGGGGTCACGAAGAGTCGGGAACGACTGAAATGAGTCAATAACAACAAACACAATTTTCCACCACCTGATGCAAGCGTTCTGGGTTGTAAGCCTTCACAAGAACCCCAGAATTTCAGAGCTGGACTGTGTCTCAGCAGTCATACAGTTCACTCCATTTCTGAGAAATCATTTCCAACTAAACATCCCATAAACAGTCCATCTGGGGGAAGAGGGAATACATTACCTTATTAGGGGACCCATTCTGTTTACGCACATCCCTAATTGTTAGGAAGATTTTCCTAACAAAGAGCCCAGAATTACCTCTTTGTGTCTCACAACTACAGTCCAACAGAATTGGTTTTCTTGCAGCGAAAGGACTTCCGATACTTAAGGATTGTTCTCATCAATTAACCCCTCCCCCACTCTGTCTTCTCTCCTTTCCGGTTCTTTCAATCAGGCTTCATAAGAGTCAGAGAGACTCACGGTCCTGATTGCTTTTCTCTGGACGCTCTCTGGCTCATACTTGTTTTTCCTAAAATTGGGTCCCGGGAAATGAAAGCAAAACTCCAGACATGATCTGACCAGGACTGAGTATGAGTATTAGCCGGGCGCTGTCACCAACTTTTTTGAAAGCTCTGCCTTAATGCAGCCCAAGAATGAACCGGCTGTTTTCATTATCGTATGAAACTAATAGTTCCAATTACTTTCAAATAGTCCATTAAAGCTCTCATATCTTTTATTAGAATTGCTCTCTAATAATCAACCAATTGACTAACCAAATGATAAACTAACATTTCACTAGCTCCTACTATGTGCTAGGCATTGGGATTAAAAAAAAAAAGAAACAATTCTTACTCTCAAAGAGTTTACATCCTAATTATGAAGACAGCAAGCACATGGAAAATAAATATAATAAGAACAAAGAAAAAAGTTAGGCAATTACAAGGTCATTTGGGATGGAGGGCACTATGACGGCGGATAGGACAAAGGACTTGGGGTCTGGAAGACCTGGGTTCAAATTCTGCTTTAGATACTTACTAAATGTATGCCTTTGGAAATTCATTTGACCCTTCTGTGCCTCAGTTTCCTCATCTGTGGGGGTGGATAGTAGCATCTACTTTACAGGATTTACATTTACAAATAACGTTTGTAAAGCAGTGATTTACAAATCTTAAAGAGCTATATAAATGATATTATTAATAATAATTATTCCAATAATATTCCGTTAGGTGGAGGTGAGGAAGGAGTTCCTGCCAGGCAGAGGAGACAATTTAAATATAAATGATATTATTAATTATATATTATTAAATTAAATTCAAGAATAATAATGAGATTAATATTATTAGATGAATATAAATACTATAATTCCAATAATATTTCATTAAGTAGAGACAAGGAAGGAGTTCATGCCAGGCATGGGAGACAGCTAGTTTAAATATAAATGATATTAATTAAATATTACTAACTTAAATTTAATAAATAAGATTTAATTAATCTTATTAAATATAAAGGCTATTATTATTCATAATAGGTTATGGCCTGTTTCCTCATCTGTAAAATAGGGATTATAATAGCACCTACCTCATAGTGTTGTAAGGATCAAGTGAGCTAACACATGTTAAGCCCTTTGCAAACCTTAAAGCTCTACATACCTGCTAGCTATTCATTGATGTGATAAAGCACTTATAAAGTAAACAAGGGAGTTTACATTTTATTCTATAGGTAATAGGAAGCCACAGGTGTTTTTTAAGAAGTGTGGGAGAGGATGACTTGATTTGATCTATGCTTTAGAGAAATCCTATTGGATGTCATCAGGAAGAGACTGTTGTGGGAAGAGACTTAAGGCAGTGAGACCCATTGGGAGTATATTGTAATAAGCTAGGTGGCTCTGCAGTGGATAGATGGCTGGATCTGGAGTCTAGAACACTCATCTTTGTGAGTTCAAATCTGGCCTCAGACACTTACTAGCTATGTGACCCAGGGCAAGTCATTCAATCCTGTTTACCTTAGTTTCCTCATCTGTAAAATGAGCCCGAGAAGGAAATGACAAACCGCTCCAGTATCTTTGCCCAGAAAACCTCAAATAGGGTCACAAAGAGTTGGACATGACTGAAACAAATGAACAGCAACAAAATAATAAGCTCAGTAAGACATTCTAAGCACTGCAACTGAGGTGGTGGCCACATGAGCTGAGAGAAAGCATCACATGTGAGAGATATGATGGAAATAGAAATGGCGCGATTTAGCAACATTGAGTTCGTGGTCGAGAGAGACGAGAAGGTTACAGACTTAGGGGAATGGAAGAACAAGGGTGCATTTTGACAGAAAAAAGCAAAAAAAAAGAAAAATGGGGAGATGGCTGGGTTTTGGAGGAAAAGATAATGAGTTGTGTTTGAGACATGTTGGGTTTTAGATGAGCGCTGAGTATATCCCCAGCACCTCCAGTTTGAGATGTCCACAAAGGAATCAGTTATGATAAGCTAAAACTCTGGACAGACTGGGGCTGGAGATATGGATCTAGGAATAGTTTTTATAGAGGTGATATTGAAATTCATGGGAGTTGATGAAGTATGTGTTTAGGTCTGCCTCTGTGTGGGGGGGGGAGGAAGGAAGGAAGGAAGGAAGGAAAGAAGGAAGGAAGGAAGGAAGGAAGGAAGGAAGGAAGGAAGGAAAAGAGAAATAGAGAAGAGCAAGAGAAACAGAGACAAAAAACCAGAGACAAAGACATGGAATGATGAGAAGAGGACCCAGGACAGAGCTTTGAGGAACAGCCACAATTAGGGTGAATGGCATGGATGATGAGTCTGCAAAGCATACTGAGGAGTGGTCATTAGGCTGGAAGAGAAACAGGAGAGGATAGTGGGACAAAAACCCAGAGATAAAAGAATATCCAGGAGGAGAGGGGGGTCAGCAATGCCAAATGCAGCAGATAGGTTGGGCAGGATCGAGACCAAGAAAAGAGAGACCATCAGAGTTGGCAATTAAGAAATCAGTGGTGATTTTGGAGAGAGCAATTGCAGCTGATGAAATTGGAAGCCCCACTACAAAGGGATGAGGGGGAGTGTGAAAAGAGGAAGTGAAAGTGGGAGACAGCTTTTTCAAGAATTTGAGAAAGAGAAGAGAGAGGTGTAGAACAATAGCTTGAGCTAATGCTAGGGTCTAAGGAAAAAAAATTTTTTTAAAGGTTACAGGAAACTTGGGTGTGTTTGAAGTCCTGAAACCAGTAGAAAGGGAAAGGTTGAAGATTAAAGAGAGAAAAGGGGGTATGTGTAGTTGTGGCTGCAATCTGCTGGAGAAGATGGGAGACAATGGTATGAGAGGCACGTGTGGAGGGATTGGCTTGGCAACACCTTGTTGTTAGACATTGAATAGAGCTGTTGAGGTCACCAATGGAGAGTGTAGGTGGGGAGAGAGTGAAAAAAAAAAGGAC